AGTCTTTAAATGGTCACTGAGCCTCTAGGATTGCGCACACCCCGGAAGAAGTTTTGTCCAAGAGATCAGAGATGCCGTTGGGCTAAAAACTTATTCACATGATAGTCAAGCTGTATTTTTTCTTTTTCTGACAGAGTTATTAACACTTAGAGGTTAAATTTCATCTTTTGGCCTCTCTTCCGGTTTGATGGATGTTAAACCTTTTTGTATCAGTCATGCTATCGAAGAGCCACTCAACTTGGAGTTTGCGTCTAAAGTAATATAGTTTTGTCACATTAAAAACAAGTCAAATATGTAACAGTTTTTGGCGAATATTCATCTCTCTCGGTGTGCTGAGTGTCAGGAAGACTAGTGTTGATGAGATTCAGATTCCAACCATAGCAACAGGAACCAAGAAGTGGTTCGCTGGACGCGTTGCAAGATCACAACTAATAGATAATTGATTATTTTCCTCTATCATAAGCTTCAAGACCGATCAAGAAAACTTCTAGATTTACCCGAGTCAAGATAGTTCAAATTTTGGGTGAACTAGACAAAAATAATATAAAGCAAACTTTTGGTATATATCATAATTTAGGGCTAAATATTAATATACTAAAAGTCCTGGAGAATCCTCCTTCCCCAACCCCCTTTTTTCGCCCCCCAAACCTCCTCCTTTTATTATTTTGGTGATTTCCTTGAAAACTATTCAATTTAAGGAAAAATGTCAAGAGAGCATTTTTGAAGCTGACAAAATTCCCCTGGAAACAACGTACTGGGAGCCTATATATTATCACGTGGTACGCACCAGTGACGTATCAAAAGAAATTTTGTCCCGAGAATAATTGAAAACTATAAGCTTGGCGAAAAATATCGTTACCAATTTTTTTGTAGGTGATAAAATTGCAAATCTATTCATATATAGAACGACCCCCTAGAACCAAAAATATTGGTGTTTAATTTTCACCCCACTGATCAGTTCTGACGTCACCTTCCGACATAATTTGTTCTTTTATTAAAATAGTAGATACTTGTATGATTGTTTTCCGGTTGTAATACTTTTTATTTTCGATTTCACGTTTTTAAAAATTTCACGTAACGTCAACGCTTTTCACTAGCAGTCAGTAATGTTTTCAGTCATTTTTCACCAACTTTAGTGATAACACGCTCACTTAGAGGCAGTTTACACAAAACACATTTTTCCATCTTCAATTAAACAATATAGAAAAATATGACACGTTAGGCAATTGACCTGTCTCGCATAAACAGGGAAAACTTTTTATGAATACAAGTTAGGAAGTAGTAAAACACGACATGCGTGCGCAATAGTGGGTTGCAGTGTAGCCAGATTGTATTGTTGTAGAATGAATGTAGACAATGAAAATCGAACATTACACCCATTTAAAAAGTGATATAATGTCAAGTGTTTCACAACGCCTTAAATCAGACAAGAGCTTTAAAGTGTCTTTTAACCTCGCTTGCACTTTAATTTTGATAAATACTCCATCCGGCAACATCGTACAATGAAAGTGCAAAGGAATATGACAAGTACATAACTTTAAACAACACTGCGGTGAGTTCAGAAGTGATAAAGTAAAGTATTCCCTTTTTGTCGGATTACACGTTACAAAGAAAGAAGGAACGATTTCTTCGGAACTCGTCCCTGGACTCGGACTCTGTTACGGATAGAGATCGTTATCCTTATCGCTTCCTGGGCTGGAACTCTGTAACGGATAGCGATCAATATCTCTATCTCTAGTGGCGTCCCCTCTTTATTGATTTCGATAAGAGAGAAGAAGACAGCAAGTGCCATAGCGATAGGGATAACGATCTCTATCCGTTACAGAGTTCCAGCCCTGTTTTCTTCTCTCTTTCCGAAATCAATGTACAGACAGGGGACGTCATTAGAAATAGAGAAAATGTCTCTATGCGTTACAGAGTCCCAACCCTGAATGTAAATATGACGCAAACACGTGACAAACTCGCTTCCTATTGGACTCTGACGACTCTGTTGCACAAGCGCAGTCAAGATAAAAAAGATACTGTTTGTTTCACGAGGGCTTGTACTTTTGCCTTCCTTTTTTAACAAATAGAAACTGACTGAAACAAATTAATGACGTCAAAAACGTTCGTCGGTTTTTAAATCAGAAGTCATTCAATAGGTACAATACAAAATCTGAACGTTATTGAATTTATATGGATCAATCTACGACAAACCTTTTTTTCCAAGTTATGACATATCGATGTTATAAGTATAACCTTTCGTGAAATGAACCTTACGTACCACAACGTCGCGCAAGGCGTTAGGCGCACCTGTTATTTGGCAAATTGATAGCTGAGAAGTCTCGGATAAATTTTTTTTTGGCTGAAGTGATTGCGATAAACTTTTAATAGATTCGCAAGTAGACTACCTTCCAATGGTCGTTTCAGAGAAAAATGTGCTTCTTCTAAAAAAATTATGCTTAGATCAAAAAAACTGAGAATAAATAGCAAACAGTATTATTGTTCAAAAGTAACCCTTCATTTGATACACCACTGGTGCGTAAGACGTGGCACTATATGGGCTCACAATACATCATTGCAAGGGAAATTTTGTCAGCTTCAAAAAAGCTTTCTTGACATTTTACCCTAAAGTGGATAGTTTTCGAGAAAATCATCAAAATATTAAAAAGGTGGGGGCTAGGAGGCGAAAAAAGGGGGTTGCGGAAGGAGGATTGGCCAGGACTTTTAGTATCTTGCAATTTGCAATCTTGACTCGAGTAATTCTCTAAAGAAATAAGTTGAACCCAGGCAATATAAAATCAAACAGGATAAAAAGGAATATTGAAAAGTCTTACATAGAGACAGATCACTGCGTGATTGAAGGCCAAAGAAGAAGGAACAAAAAGAAATGTTACCTATTTGTATCACAGGTCCGAATAGCATTAGAAAATCTTGTGAGAATTTTTGTTGAACTTTCTCATCTCGAGATTTTGCGAGAGTAACAGAAATTGACATGATTTTTTTTTATGGCTTATGCCGATACCGACATTAAATTAATTACAATACATATATCAAATATCACATGTGACACCAAAAAATTTGTATCTACAATGTCCTCGGATCATGACACTTTGCGTAGCCATAACAAATGTTTGTTCGTGTTAAGAACATTAAATCCAAGGACTTGTGGTGGTTTAAAATTTCTCATAGTCTGAGCCAGTCGAAATTAGTATTTGGGCTAAAGAAAATAACAATAATAGAAAGGTCAACAAACTTATTTCGTCCTTTCGAGTTTCGTCTCAGTGTGTGTAATATAATATGCAGTAACTTGAGAATGCCAATGTGAGATTTATTTGACTTTCGTCTCCCGGCATCTGAGTCAGAGGTTGCTTATAATTTTCGTTCAGTTGTTAAGCACGTTTGTTTTTCGTCCCTGGTATTATTTTAGTAATTTTATACTTTAGACAACAACGCTGTTTTCACCCTAAATTTTATGCACCCAAAGGGCAAAAACTACAAGTTCACCCGCTTCCAGCCCCCTTCGACCGCCATGAAAACTTTATAATATAGAATAAGGTTAGGAAAAGCTGCTCGCCTCCCCCTGTACACATAAATAAACCACGTTTGCCAAATCGCTAACTTTGCAAAACGGGGGAAGCATTTTAGTTGCAAACACCTGCAGGCACGTAACTTAGCAACCCAGTGTATCGGAGACACAATTCGACTGAATAAATTTCGTTTTAATAGAGCAAACTTTACTCAAACGTGAGCTTTGAAATTTGAGAACGAGCGGGAAAAACCTCTTAAGTTCTTCGAAGTAATGTTGAAGTTAAATTGAGTTCAAAAATCCGCCATTAAAAGTTGTATTCGTTTAGGTACCTTTTTAGAAGTAAATTCCTCATTCGACTCGAAATAAACTGGAAGTGTCATAGTATTTCTGATAAACACAACATTTTCCGCCACTCGATTTAAAACTAAATCATTGATATGCTTTGGGAGCATTATTCTAGCAGCAGGTCTGAAATTGATATCACAATTTTCTGATTCGGTGCATGTGTTACTGAATACTTGTTCGGTCGACGTATGTATTGCTTATAATTCTATGTTATCACATTTGAAATTAAATGTTGTAACAATCTTCCTTGTCAAGAATTTAAGTAATCCTAGAATAGGGCAACAGATGGAAAGAAAACAAAGGGGGGATCATTATTATGCCGCCAGATTGTGTTCATGTTTCGGCCTGTTTCGTTATTATGGTTTCCTAGGGTAAATTGTACAAAAACAAACGCTGCTTTCCTTCCCGAAAAACTTTATGCAGTTTTTATAATTTTTTTGTAGGTTGCAAATAATGAAGGATGAATAATTAGCGCGACTTCTCATTTTACCAGGGGTTGTTTTATTTCAGGCATCGATTCGCTGTTTCTACATAAATCAAAAAACAGTCAGAGCGAATTTCATTTTCTCAAGCACATTTTTTTTTTTTTCGTTTTTTGTGAAAACAGATTTTTATATTTTCTTGAGTATTTTTGCTGGTTTTTGTCTTGAATTGGTATACATTTTTCATATTGTCACAGCCCCTATACGTTTTGTACTGGGACGTTACAACAGGAGCGTGTGACCTGGGGGCATAGGTGGGGTTCAGGTAGAGAGAAACTCGCTTGGTATAGGTATAATAAGATAATGTATTGAATCATAATAATATTACCCTAGGAATAGTATCATGACGTCTCTTTTACGGAGGGACGTACTACTTATAGGCCACTCTGTATAAGGCTCTCAGAAGAAGCTAGGTTTGAGACAGGTCCAGAAGGGCGTTTCCCATTAAAGGTAGTTTGCACTGTGAGACTTAGCTAGAGGGGCTTTTCCCATTTGAGGTACTTTGCACTAGCCTTAGTCTGCCGGTAATGGATTTCGGCGCGGTATTTATACCAAATAAATGCTGATCCGTCGACACACTTTAGTAAAATTGATGTATAGAGTGGTATTTACTTAAGTAGTTGACAATATGTATGTCTAATATTATATCTTCTTTGTTTCAGGTGTGGACTTTGGATATTGCAAGACGGATTAACCGTAACTCACATTTTATTGGGTAAGATTGGCGTTTCAAATATTAAATTACAGATACCTATATCGAAGTAAAACTGAATTGAAAATAGCCGATAATAATAATGCTGGTTTTCATTCATGATAAAGGTGAAAACGTTCTCTTTTTCTTTTTCCTACATTTAATATAGAGAGGGAGAATCTGAAATTGACTTAATAACTATTCAAGCACAAAAGTTTGAACATGCTCTTGTCCTAATTGTCTTGTTGCAAGTAGGAGAATATTATTTTGACTCTAACTGGCCTAAAAGTCAAATATCTTAACCTAGTATTGAAAGTTTTAAAAAGCCTCAAATAGTATACTCGTATATTCGTTCCAGTTTACAATCATTTACCGTTTATGGACACTTGGCACGTACAAATATTTAGAAAAACAGCAAGAAACGTGCCCAACATGAGTGCGTCCTGTGTCAAGAATCACGAACGCTAAGAAAATGGAACAATAAAAAAACTATTTTCCACGGTGCGTGATTCAGATACAATCAAACGCAAATGATATATCTTCAATGCGTAGTAAATGTGGGTATACTATTATCAATATTTAATAGCTAATAATTAAATATGCCGGAAAATAGATGAAAGAGAGTTACTCATTTCTAAAGGATGTAACATCTTTGTCTTATAATCAGATGATTTATATATTTGCATATTCACACCAAGCTTTGATAATTTATTTATATTCTTTACAAACAAATACCTATCAAGCCAAATTTTGTTGATTGTGTAGTGGGTATGCAATGGCTTACTTTATCAATTACTTGCCATTATGTAATCAAATAAGTTCCATTTGAGTAACCGGAAAGTAGGTACTGTCAAAGACGAGTATTTTGATGGTACTATTAACTAGTACGGTGAGAGGAACGATAGGGGCACTACCTTGATGAAATATCTAGAAGAAAAATATCTATATGCAATGAACTCGTTCTATAAGAAAAAACCGCAAAGAAAGTGGACATGGCTCAGCCCTAGAAATGAATTGGACTACATACTGACCACTGAAAAATATATTATTAAAGATGTAACAGTCCTGAACAGATTCATCACAGGCAGCGATCACAGAATGGTCAGAGCAAAAATACGTATCGATGACAACTTTGAAATGGAAAGAAAAACTAATGGAAACAAGGGACAACTAGACATGACCAAACTTGCACAAAATTAAACCATATACAAAGAGAGACTGAAGGAACAAATGACTCGCAACTTGAAAAGCGATAATGAAAATATAGATAAAATGTACGATACATTAGCGGAAACCATTGTTAGGGTAGGAAAAGAAATCGCACGAAGAGATAAAAAGAAGGAAGATTGCATATCAGAAGAGACAAAGAAACTCATGGAAAGGCCGAAACTGAACGAAGAAGGGAAAAGGAAATCGATAGAATACACAGAAATCAATAAGACCATCAGGAAAATGATAAAAGAAAACAAAAGGAAGAACCAAGAAATAGAAATAGAAAGAGTCATAGAGAATAACAGCTGTCGAACTCTCTAACTCGATAGAAATAGAAATAGAAAAATAATAGCAAAGAAAAGAAATTTCTTTCTATCATATTTTTTCGATTTTCAATAACATACCGGTGTTTTTGACAGTAAATTTTTGATTGTCAGTTATTGTTTTCATTAGAACCATTACAGGTGGATAAAGTTTCCCATGCATGACCCAAGCAGAGAAGGAAGTAAAAAAAGTTAATTCATGCTGTAATGAAGTTACGTAATTTATTTATTTTTGTTGTTGTGTCTTAGAAAACCATATAGGATACAGATATTGTTTATTTCATAGAGATAATACTTATTGCTATTTAGGGAACCGTTCAGGCTAAAAATTACTGGGTAATTTATAGAAAATATTTATAAGGATAAATATTTTTACCGATGAGGAGGGGGTGTGTGACGAAGTCACGTATTTTTTTTTTCTTTTTTTTTAAAGGTACCGCGAGTTTAAGTGTATATTTCAATAATATTATTTTTAATCCTCAAATAAAGTATTAATTTTGCACGTGACCTTGCTTTGAGTGGACTATTCTCAGCCGCGCCGGCAGGCGCATCGCTTGCTTGAGAAGCGCTGTAGTCTTTTGGTCATGCTGGATTCCCACCGCCTCAACATTTGACGACGCTCTCCCATTTAAGGCAGTTAAAAAAAAAATACGTTACTTCGTTGCAATGCAAAACTTTGGGTTTCTTGGTACCATATATAGGCTGCACCCATGCGGCCATTCTACAGCCTATTGAGAATGATTTCTGAAAAAAACTTAGTAATTCTTAATGTAAATGCGAATTATGGGGGTGCCAGTCATGATTCTTTCATAAGGAAAAAATCTCAATTATGTCTGTATGATATATGTACTGTCAGACACTTCTCCACTGTTCTTGCTCCCAGTCCAATTGCGTTTTAATGATCTGTTAATTCCCCCCATGTATGCTGTTTCATTGCTATTCTCGTTAACATCAGTCGCGAAAAAATCAAACAAAATGTCACTGTAACCACAAATCAAAACAGAAAATCAAATTTTCAAAAAAAAATAAAAAATAAGACGAAGACAAGCTTACGTCAATTGTGATTATGTAGAATGAAAAAGAAAAATAGCAATACCCAAAGGGGTCTTTCTATTTCCTTTGGCACGAGCAGGTAGTTCGGAGTAGCGGCTCTAGCCGAATGGGGTTAGAGAGTTCCGTTTCGTCAATTTTCTATCATGGAAAGGACATTTCTTCTCTATGCTGTTACAGAGTACGGCAGCAGGAATATCAAATGCTTAAGACCGACACTAGGAAGATATGAAATAAATAAAATAAAAGACAAGAATGGCGTAGAAACTAATATTAAGGAGGATATCATAAATATCACACAACTCTTTTATAAAGAACTATATCAAACAAAAAAAGGAACCACCGGAAGAAATCGTGAAACAACTACAAACTAAAATAGAGAATGTAAACTTAGAACTACAACCCGGAATAAGCAAATCGGAAATAAAGAGGGCTCTGAAAGAAATGAAAAAAAGCAAAGCACCTGGAGAAGACGGAGTCACGGCAGAAATGCTAAAATACGGTGGAAAAACGGTTATCAATACTCTTCATACCCTCCTAAATAAAATACTGAAAGAAAAGAAAATCCCAAATAACTGGGATGAATCCATAACCATCATCCCTCATAAGAAAGGTGATAGAACAGACTTGAAAAACTATCGACCTATAACCTTAATGAAATTTATAAGCTCTTCACAAAAATTCTCACCACCAGGCTAACAATAAAATTCGATGGTTACCCATCGAAAGAGCAGGCCGGCTTCAGAAAGGGTTTCAGAACAAGTGACCACCTATTAACAGGCTACGTTCACCAGAACCAAAACGGATCGTAAACAGTTTACAAATACCAACAGAATACGTTGGGTAAACTTTTGGTTCTGCTGAAAGATTCAACTTTCAACTTTTCAATGACAGAACATCACCCTCTGAATGTCATGTCACCAGAATTGAGTTCGGAATGGGATTTTAGTGCGGTGTTCGTGTAATGCAGGGTTATATCACGTGATGCAAGTATAACACCGAATACACCATCATTTTGTGTACCGAGTAAACCGTGTCCGATCATTTGTACACCATTCGGGCACCAACTTAATTCCAAACACAAATAAAGTGTCCACCAAACTTACTGCTACCAATTAACGAACGCCACAGTGTCAATAGAGTAAAAAGTGTCGACACTTTGTATCATTCCGAACTCACCTCACATAAAACACAGTGTTGAAAATTATAAACACTCTTGGGCTGAGTTCGGCTCTACACTTTGTAAACTCTGAGCGCGCTCGAAACGACAAGATCCTATTCGTTTTAGCTCTCCAGAGTATTCTCTTTTGCGTTAGGCCTATGATCGCGTATGACGTCACGATATACATACTAAATCCTAATAGAACGAGCCAATAAATATCACATCCCACTATACATATATATGCATTTATCGACTTCGAAAAGGATTTTGATAGTGTTGAACCTCTGGTCAGTAAAGAGCTCATCAATTAATAGTAGACTTCATATGCACAGACCTAATAACCAACATATATAGCGAAGCAACAACAACTGTTAAAATTCATGAGGGAACAAAACCAATACCCATAGGAACAGGTATCAGACAGGGCGACACAATATCACCTAAACTTTTCAACCAGGCCCCGGAAGATGTTTTTAAAAAACTAGACTGGGAAGAAAAAGGTAGAAAAATATGCGAACACTTGAGCAACTTAAGATACGCGGATGATATCGCCCTAATAACTGATAAGAAAGAAGAACTGGCGGAAATGCTGGAAGAACTTGACACATCGGCTAAAAACATAGGTCTCAATATGAACTACGCTAAAACCAAAACAATAACGAACTCAGACGATGACATCACAATCAGAATAGGACAAGAAAAAATAGAACAAGTCGCCGAATATATATATCTAGGACAGATTATTAAACTCAACAAAGAAAACCAAACAGCAGAAATCAAGAGACGAGTTAGATTGGCTTGGGCAGCATTCGGCAAATTAACCAACATTTTGAAAAATAGAAAATATTCATAAAACCTCAAAACTAAAGTGTATAATCAATGAATACTTCCGGTCCTCATCTATGGATCCCAAACATGGACACTTAAAGTCAAACATAGATAAAATAACAAAAGCACAAATATCAATGGAAAGACAAATGTTACATGTGAAACTGATAGATAAAAAGAGGAACGAGTGGATAAGAAATAAAACGAGAGTAAGAGACGTTAGAAAGGAGGTAGCAAAATTAAAATGGAAATTCGCAGGTCACAATATCAGACAAAAAGACGACCGATGGAATAAATGTATTTTAAGCTGGAGACCTTGGGAGAATAAAAGAAGTAGAGGAAGACCCCAGATGAGGTATGCTGATGATCGCTGGAACCACGTGGATGAATATAGCAACAGACAGAGAGGAATGGAGAAGGAGATAGACTGAAGAAGGCTGAATAGATAG